GGGGGGGGGTCGGGGTGGTCATGACCCTACCTCCTTCGGTGTCTGAAAAATAAATCACACCTGTCCTCGCCCCTTCACCTAACCCCAGGAGCTGAAGTCGCAAAAACAACGGCACTGTGAGGGCGTTTTGAACTATTTTATCCACGCTTTATTGCAGTGAAATAAACCAACAAATAGTTACAAGAGCGGTTTGTTTGTTAAATAGGATAGTAATATTTTTGTTAACAGTTATATTTTTCTTTCCCATCTACTTATCTTATTAACACAGGTCCTTGCTAACATTTAGCCCCGCAAAAATTAAACCACTTACTTTAACCACAACACGAATGTCACCTTTAATGAAGATCGATTAGTATCGTTTAATTAATTAATTAATTTGCAGAAAGTCTTTGACAGTAAAAGAACCTGTCAATATTCCACACATAATGCAGAAAAACATATATCCTTCCTTCTTCCACGCACACACTGGCGTACATAGTTTAACTAATTTTGAAATGACCCATGCGCTACCTCCAGAATAACGTCAAATGTCATATTTCTTTACTTGAATTTGTTTTTAAATTTCTTTTGCTAAATTCTTCTTTTTACAATAGTTTGTACTCTAGAATGCCGTATAAGACACCCTGAAGGGTTCAAAAAGAGAATTAGTTTTGGAAACATGTTGCACATTTTCTCTTGAATTATTTTGCAATTTAATTACTAACTTCAGATTTTAGCGCTCTCTATTTGGCGTACTCACTGTTTCACAGTAAGAGAAATCACAGTGCGCGATGATTGACGTTTGTTTATATAAGCTGCCAATCAAGCTGTTATTACTTGACAGCAGCTATCAAAACTAACTGAATTTGATTGGCACCTTGTCAATCAAAGGGTGTAGGAAGCTTGAACTATACGTCTTCGACGACTATATTGATCTACTGTGTAATGATTGTGATTGACGTTTGTTTATATAACCTGCCAATCAAGCTGTTATTACTTGACAGCAGCTATCAAAACTAATGAATTTGATTGACATCATGTCAATCAAAGGATTTAGGTTTTTTTTTAATAGTTTGGAGAGAAGAGTGTAGTAATTGTGTTTGACGTTCGTTTAAAAAACTGTCATTCATAGTCGTGTGCGCTTGACAGCTCCCATCAAAGCTGAATTAGCCTGTTTGAATTTGATTCATACCTGTCTATAACAATACATGTCGTAACATTCTGGAGGTAGGGGGCATTCTATTTTCTTTTCTTTTTGCAGCGTTAAAAAACGCCGTGTTCTTTATTTCAACCAAGAGACTGAAATTTAAGAAGGTGAAAGAGTTTTTTTTCACAGGTGTTTTTAAATGTACTAAAAATAAGTTGTCATTCTTTTTCTGGATATGGTGTAAAATGACTATACGTGAATAAACGTTGATGTCAATGTTTGTTGCTCCATAATCCTTTCTTTGTTCGGACGAAATTGGAACTTCGTATACGAAATGAACATATTACTTTAATCATACTCATGTTCTTTTACATCCAGTGAATATATTTGGATCATTAAAAAAAATGAATGGTGAAAAAACTAAAACCTTGTCAATGTTTATATTGAGCCACGGAGAGAAAAATGCCGAGATAATGATGTTAGTGATCAGGTAAAAGCAGGCAAAATTAAAAACTACCGGTTTTGTTCCTTATAAAGGACCGGAGCAATAAGTAGCCCGTCTCTGTATATTGACAGGAGCGTGCGTGAAAACTGTTGTTTTTAAATAAACAATGCAATTAAAACCAATTGAAAACAATTTTATGCAATGCGTTAACAATATTTTGTGCTTTAATCTGTGATACATTGTTAGTACTTCATAAGTATGAAAAAAACCCCTCCAGTCGGGTTGGTTTAATCAAAGACTTGAAATTCTTGTTTTAATTTATTGAAGTTATTCATTCAATATTTTATACTGTATTTCATCAGATTGGTAAAAATGATCTTTTCGTTATATATAAAATGGATGCTACGCCGTATAATTTATTTTATTCTATTTTAAAGTAAAAACAAAATTAATTCAGCATTAACAACAGCATCTTTGCTTTGCCTCATCTAGCACATTCTCTGAATTTTTGTCCGAAGGCGGATATTATAATATAATAGATTTCCTGCCATGCTTTTTGCAGTTAATATTCTACGTGCAGTATATTAATGTTTCATACCGCAAGTGAAACTAAAAATGAATCTTTTTATCTGGGTAATTTTTTTCAACTAATCTATCATAGATCTATATAGAGAAACAACTTTAACTTTTTCTATAACCCAGATTAGGTAAAATCTTCCGTAGTTTTGAGTCGAGCTCAGATCGAGAAAAGTCGGTTTATCAGCAGATAAGTCAAAGGGGTTTAAACAGAGGAACCGGGGGCGGTAAGCGAGTCTTGACATTCCCCTCTTTTCGTACATAAGCAAATTTCTTATGCAAAACGACCAAATACAATTTTATACAGCGTAAAAAGTACACGCAATGATGTGGAAAAGAAGCAAAGCTAACAACAAAGAGAGTGTTTGAAAAGTTTTATTTATAATATCATTTTATGTGTTTTATTGACAAGTAATAATTTTAATGAACTTTTACGAATTTTAAATGCAGTATTACAGGATTTAGTCTTTCATAACCCTTAGTAGGGTGGGTTTTATTTTTTTCAACGTGAGACGTTAATAAAATTATTATTATTATTATATTAGTAGTAGGCCTACGTAACCAAAAGACTTGCAATCGAAAAACTGTGTACGAGGCAACTTCATATCTTGGCTTCCTTAGTCCCAAATTTGCCCTTAGAAATACCCACAGATACTGAGCTTACTTAAGCCCCGATTTAAGGGTCATTCACAAGTCAAGGGGGGGGGGGGGGAGGAGGGTCGAGGGTCGGCTTCGCATCCGAGGCCTGTCATTCCTAAAAAACCGCACCCCCCTTCAAATAATCCTGGATCCGTCCCTGCAACCTTATAAACTTGAATGAAATGAAATTCAGCATTTTTATAGTTTCTATTTCACTGAAAAGTCCAGTGAGTCCAAAATTCATATCAAGGCATTAAATTACAAGTATGTCGACCAGTTATTTTGTCTGCGTCTCTTATTCCTTTTAAATATATATTTTGTTTTAGATAACTTGCTGTAGAGGTTGGTTGACGGCATTTACTCTTAAACTGAAGAAATATGTCATCATTATCAATGGCCTTTTCTTTAGCGGGGTTCGATGATTTTTTTTTCTTATCCGCTTATGTAGGTCTAGTACAGAAATAAGCATTGTACACGCTATGTTATGAGGAAGAAATTCTGTTGCATTAAAAAAAGCGTGGTGACTGTGTTAATTGCAGCTGCGTAAATGAAAAATTAAATCGATTTAAAAGGGTTTTCTGATTTTATCGGTAAAGATGCGTATAATGCCTTTCTTCAATGAAACCTCGTAACGTAACCTTAATAACAATAAATAAATAAATAAATAAATAAATAAATAAAAAACAAATGCTGGCTCTGGATTGTAGCCAGTTTTGATGATAGTGTCCTACTTAGGTAAAGCGATCGCTATGTCTCACACCAATTAAAAAGCAACAACACTGCTGATAAACGCTTGACCGCACCCTATCTAATTGCAGCAGTGAGCGTTTAGTTAAATACAACAATAAAAAGAGGATTTGGTTATCTAAAGGTGTCTATTGATATTGCACTTATAATAAAATGAGTAGGCTTATTACAAATTAAACGAAAAGGGGGGAAAATTAAGGCTGTTTTGCCACATGTGCCTTTTACCCTACCACCCTTTGAGAGAGAGAGAGAGAGAGAGTGTACAGTAAAATAAATTGCAGGCAACTGTACAGTTTAGTTTGACTATATTTAAATCTAATCTAAAAAAATCACACGGGACACCTGCCCCCCCCCCCCTCCACGTCCTGTCTTCTCAAGCAAAATGTGGTAAAATCTGTGGAGTCCGTCACAATCATGGTTGAGACAGCATCAAAACAACGCTAATGAAATTAAGACTTTTAACTCAATATTTTATTGCATAATTTCAAGTCTTGTATCTGACACGTGGATGCGGTACTTTATCGTTGTCTGTATTTTAATTTAAAAAATAGGGCGGCTGACACTGGTGACCTAGTTCTGCAGATATCCCCAGCTGACCTTTAGCAAGGTCATTTCCTGTTTAGATTTCCCAGGTGAATATTGGTGGCTGAGGTAGGTTCTGTTAAAATTGTTTTACAATATCTACATTGCAAGAGAGTCTTAACAGATTCTGAATCTTAAACTTAAGGTGAATTTGCAAACTGTATATTGAAGTCAGAGAAGTTTTAGTAGCAATAATAAATCGTCACGTACTAGCTGTACAGTACGTGATGAATTACCTCTACATTTCCCCGGTAGCCAGGTGCAAGGGTAAACTGAGTGGTCGGATAAAGCGGAATTTGACCCTTTTGATTGTAAACTCCCTTTATACGGCGTTCTGTATGCTCGTCATGGTCTTTCATTTTAGGTCTTTTAGGACTTTTAGCTCTAGTGCTTTGAACTGTCACTATTGTACAGTAGTCTAGTAATGTTTACAATATTATATCTATATACTGGTAAACACGCAGAAATACGTCCAAAAAAATACTCTATTTATTATTCATTTTGCCAAAATGATCATGAGCACATCTCAGATGTGCATTCTTCTAATAACTGTCAAATAAAATGATTACCGTGCGCAAAATAATTTTAAAAGATACACCAAAATAATGTTTTAACTTCCAACATCAACAAACAAAACTGATCATTCACATGATAACTACAAGTACAAGCTTCATGTAGGTAAAATTATTTTTTTTTCGGTGTGGAACCAGCTACATGTATTAATTTATACTTGCATAATTTCTTATTTGGAGAGCACGAAATTAGAATTATTGTCATCTGAATAATGTGATCTGAATAGTTTCCTAAATGCTGTCTCTCCATCTCTCTCCATCATGTTCAGTAAAACTGTCACGTTCATATTTGCCAGGTTCAGGAGCCAAGATGTCCTCAGACTCGTACCAGTGCACACTGACCCCAGAGCTCCAAGACAAGGCTAAGAATGAGCTGAATGAGGATCCTGAGTGGAGATCCAAGGATGTAGCTGCACTCAGGGACATGGTCAACAAATATACAGGTAGCCATTACTGTCTGGATAAAATAATTTAGTAGCTAGAAAACACTAAGAATAACACCACTGCCCAGCTAATTTCTGAGTTGTGTTATGGGGTGTAATTTCTCACAATTAAGTGCTTGTGCATGTTTTACAATGTGTGACGTCTTCCACAGAGCCATGACTCCACTGGCTTGCAATTAGGACACAAATCAATTTTATGAGAAATGGCTGGGTTGACTTGTGCCATTATTTAACAATGCATTGCATACCACACATGATGTTAAGACCACAAATTATCCTTTATGCTAAAGTCATAACATGTGTTCATATAAGAAGTTAAAGATGACATTTGGAAGGATGAAGTTGCTGGTTAAAAATCAAATGGTTGTTAATGTGCTGCTGTGTGCTGTGTATCTGACAGGCTGCCCACAGCCACAGTGATGCCTTTCATTCCTACAGCTTTAAGAGAATACTGAAAAGGTTCTATTTTTGAGCCAGGTCCCACAGATGTTGTTGTATTTTGGCAGTTATTGCAGCCATGTTTTTGTTGTTCCTTTTTAGTTCTTTTGGTACTCTACATCATATGTGTACAGATTTGATATGATTCCACACCAGGGAAATATATAGCAGTGATTGCGAAAGCTGTCGGACAGTACAATTGTTAATTTTGGAAGATTTTTCCACACACTACAATTATTTAGGACTTCAGAGTAGAAGCATCAAGCCTTTTTTCATTGTTTTTAATCATAAAAAAATATTGAAATATAATGAATTTTCTCTAAATAATTCATGGCACACATTTTTTAAAAATGGCCCACTTTTTTGGACCAAATGGGCCAAGATGGCCCAACCAGATTTTGACCCAGGACGATCCCTGCTAACAGACAAACATTTTTTCAAGAGTGAAAATCTAAAAAAAAGTTAGAAAAGTTGGAAGCTCCACTTCACTGACTTAAAATTTAAATTTAGGCAAAAGTTGGAATAAAAATTTACAAAGGATACATGATCTTGTGTTAAAAGATTAGAAATTAAGATAAGCAACCCAGATGTAAAAAAGATAAAACTTAAATGCCAGAAAGCAACCAAAATGAAGGATGTTTAAACTTAAACCTTTAAACATCCTATTACATCTTGCCTGAAAATTAAAAAGCAACGATTTAAAATGCCAGACAATAATATTCATCAAAAATGAAGTGAAAATATAAAGCTTGATTATTTTATTGTGGGCTGGTAAAAAAAGGTGTGGGCTGACAAAATTAAAAATGCTCCAGCCCACATGTCTGGTAAGTGTCTAATCTCTTTTGCAATCACTGATATAGTGAGCTATTTGGTACAGGTTAATTGATTGATTAGAAGGTAAAATTGCAATCAGTTGATCAACAAGTTTATAAAGTATACGTGACATATTGTGCTCTAGCCCAGTGTTGAAAAAAGTCAATAAAATTTCCTCATGAATATAGAAAAAATAGCACTGACGTAATGGATGACCTTTTGCAAGGGTCCTTTTCTTAAACAAGCTGATAGTAGGTAGCTTTCTAACTATAATGAAAGGAAAACCGTGTTACTTATAATTCTTTAATTGACGTATGAGAGATGGGTGTTTCACGATGGTTAATTGATTTCCTTAGATTATTGTAGTGACTGCTGTGATGATTTCATTTAAAAGCTTCACCTTAAAGACACTTCATTTCCATTTTCATTTTAATTATACATGAAAAAAAAAAAAATAGTACGTCCAGAATTTATTCTAAATTCTAGGTTGATAATTAATTCAATACTCTCAACATGACTGTTGCTGAATTGAAGGAATGATTGAAACTTGTGTATTTTGATGAAATAGAAATAATGATATATTGATCGGTATTATTATGTGTAAACAAAATTTGAGTTCAAATTCATCAGTTTTTAAAAAATCAATTAAAAAAATCTTCCTCAGGTTTGAAGTGCAGAACAGACGATGCGTTCCTACTGCGTTTCTTACGAGCTCGTAAATTTGACCACCAGAGGGCGTTTGATCTGCTGCTGAACTACTTCAAGAAGAGGAAGGAGAACCCAGACATCTTTGAGAACTTTACACCACTGAACCTGAAGCACATGTTTGAGGCCGGAGTGAGCAATGTGCTGGATTGTAAAGACAAGCTTGGGAGACGAATTGTTCTATTAAGAATGGGTAAGTATGTGTATGTGTTTATAATAATAATAATAATAATAATAATAATAAATAGTTTATTAATACATAGCAACCACAAAGTCGAAGTTGTAAATAAACTGGATAAGAAGAAAAATTACAAATTAAATCATTTACATAAAATAATGGATATACAATAAGACCAAAATGAGTTCAAAAATAAATAACTCAAAAAGAATGGGAGCTCAAAAACCAGGCAGCTCAAAAATCAAGCACACTACTCGTGTGTGTGTGTGTGTGTGTGTGTGTGTGTGTGTGTGTGTTTATATACAGTACATGTATGTGTATATGTGTGTGCGTATTACAATAAGCAACTAATTATGACGTGAGATAACCTTAAGTTTGTGTTTGGGTGTGTGTGGATGTGGGGGGGGGTCTATATATATATATATATATATATATATATATATATATATATTATGTAGATGCACAATTAATATACAAAATGGGTAATCTGTTACGGTGACCTGGTCTGTATATGTGTTGATTTACATCCATCTTATCAACTTTAAATTGTAGCAGGAATAATAATAATAATAATAATAATAATAATAATAATAATAAATATTGGTAAATTTCAGATCTTGTGTTCAAATGGGATATAGCTTGGTAAAATTGTTTACTACTCATAAAACCCTAAAGCCTGGAGTTACTTGTCAATCTGTCATAAAAATGTTATGAGCTAGGTGGAAACTGGTGCCCCAAGGCTGACACTGTTTGATTTACTACCCCAGCTACTGATTCATACATTGCAAAAATATTTAGAATTCATTGAATTCATCTAGAAAAATCTATGTCTGTCTGTATGTCCGTCTGTCTGTCCGTCTGTCTTGTCAATGTTTATACAGTAAAGTTAATAACAGCCAGTGTTTTGATGCTACACTAATGTGAGATCTGATATGAGATATGCTGGCATATCTTGGTAGACTGGTGATAAGGCTTGCCTCTGGCTCTTACACAATGGGGTTGAGTGTAGCAATGTCAAAGCCCCGGCATTTGTATACTACTGTTTTTAATAGTTTGTCTCTCTCCCACTGTTAAAGATTGTCTGTATCCATATTTGCCAACTTTTTATTTAGCTGGATCATTTTTAAAAAAATACACAACAAACCATTTTCAGTGTCAGATCTTTTCAATTCAGATTTACATGTATTTGAACTGATATATAATTTTTGATAATTTCAGGTCGCTGGGACCCAGACAGATACCCTGTGACGGACGTT